TGGTATGCATGCGAGAAAGGGTAAATCTGCGAGTGTCGCATGTTGCGGGCGTGCGGAATGTTTGGGCTGACGCCTTGTCCCGTGGAGCGGAAGCCGCGCCTGAAATTTGGGAGCAGCTAAGGCCGGAGAGGCGATGCCACCAAGACTGGCGTGCTTTGCTAGATCTGGGTAGGTTAACCTTGTGAGCCGTGGCGCATTAAGGTCTTGTCCTTCCTGTTTCCTTGCTAGGGCCATTCGCGCGGTTGGTTTGGGGATTGAGTGTTTGCTCATGGCATGGGCTCTGGAGGCTGCGGCTTCGCTTTGGGTGAAACACTTCCCAGGACATGAGGAGGGGGATGGGCTAGGGCCTTCCCCCTCCCAATGATGGTGACACATCTTGCAGCCAAAAAAAAGTGTGCCCATGCCTGTTGTAGGGTAGAGGGTTGGGATGTTTGCGTCGGGGTAGGTTTGGCATATGGCCGACGCACACAATCGATGTGGCTTGGAAAGCCCGCCCGCCCGCCCCAGACAGGGCAGGGTCTAATAGGATTTTGTGTGTGTTGTGCCAATGGCCAAGTTAACTAGGGGTGAAACACTTCCCAGGACATGAGGAGGGGGATGGGCAAGGGCCTTCCCCCTCCCAATGATGGTGACACATCTTGCAGCCAAAAATAAGTGTGCCCATGCCTGTTGTAGGGTAGAGGGTTTCATCTCATGGTTATCACATGTTGGGCGAGCCTCAACTGGGTGCACTGTGTATCCTCGAAGACTAGGTCAATTGAGGGGTAGGAGGGGACATTGCTTGTAGACATAGCCATACATGCAGAGTACTCCCCAGTTGCTGTCTACATGTGTCCGGCCATCGGTTGAAGTCTCTGAAGCAAGTAAAGTATGGACTGCAATAAAGGAACACTTGAAGCAGCCATGTTTAGCTTCTTTAAACCTGGGTCTAGGGTTTAAGGTTAGCGTCAGGGCTTAGGGTAGTTAAGGCGTTTACGAAGCCCAAGCAGAAGCTACCAGAGGCCCATCGCTTTCCAGAGACGGCCAACAGTTTTGAAGTCCAAACTTCAGCGGCGAAAGGACCAAAGTGGTCTCGTCACCAGTTGGACAAGCACGGCGGTGTTTGGTTACTTTGCAAGAAGGTTTCTATAGCAGGCAAAGTGGCGCCATGTGCCGCATCACTTGGGGTTACCAAAAAAGTGCAGCTTGAGAAAGAATGAAAAGGTTCTTGTTGAGGGGAGATTCTAAAGTCATTTCACCAGCTGCTGACAGCTCTATTGATTTCCTTACCTGGGTGGTCCAAGGTTTTTTGGGGGTGTTTGGATGCGGTAGATGTAGGCTCTACGTTTTCATTGGGCATCATTGAAGACCCTTTCACTGCGTACCTCATCGCAGTTCCCCCCTCTAGGATTCCATCGCTCGAGCACTTTAGAGAACACTTCGTTTTCCTCGCGTTCTTGGATGCAAGAGAATCGTCACTGACAAGGGGCTGTATCCTTCTTGGAGCTTTATAGGAATGGAGTAGTGGCACACCAATTGCAGAGATGGAATGAGGTCCTAACGGGAAACAACAGCGAAGTTTCAAGCCTCATAGGACCCTGCAGATAACCAGTTCCATGCTTGCCCTGTTAAATGGCTCAGGAGTTTGTGAATTAATGTTTCTTCCGAGTCCGTATAGAAAGGGTTTTGTATTTCAGAGTCAATGGAGGACCGCATTTGTAAAGCTTATATTTCGGCAAGTGTCATGAAAATGCTGACCATCATCCCCGTAAACTGGGGAGCACCGCTTCGCAAGTGTTTTCCCAACCGCGGAGGTAGCAGCTTTCCCAAGGAATCCTGCTTCCGAAGCAACTTCCATTATTGCAGGTGCAGGGACTAGCCCTGGTTCTTCGACCTAAAGCATCTGCAGGGAAGCTCGCATAAAAGTTGTGAAGTGATGCAAGAGGTGAGCATGCTGCTGGTGTGGTGATGTTGAAATGATGGTAGCAGGGGTTTTGGTCCATTGGAGGAGGAAGCTGCCTTTGGCGATGTTGATGTACTCGGACTAACTGTTGTGCTGCAATTTTGTTGTATGAGAGCACACAAAAGCTTCACAGTACCTCTATCACTGACTTCTTCGTGCAGCAGGTGCAGTGATAAACCTGACTGCTCGGGCTGTCTGCCTGAATCCTTGGGGTAGGAATCAGCAGCCATTGGTAAACATGGCTGAGGCCCCAGACAGGCCAACATCCATCAAATAAACTCGTTTAGATTGGCCGCTAAACCCTGAACCCTCAAACTTCATGTTCTATGTGTGAAGCGTCCTTTGAAACCGCCCATGTTTTTTGAGAAGATTATCAGCTCCAATAAATGCCTTGCAGAAGCTTCGCAGAATCCTCCTGAAGCCCTCGGAGGCTTTGTTGTTTTCTCTAGGGACCCCGAAGCTACAAGCTGTGAACCCTCCTCGCGACAAGTCGAGACTTGGCTTCGTGAGAATAGTGATGCTACTTCGTCTAAGTTGCTTCCATTTCAGCCCAGTGAGATATTCAAATGATCTTCAGACCAGAGTTGTACTGAAAGTGTGTGCACGTACTGGGACTTCACATTGTCTCATTTCTATGAAACCTATGCATGCTCAGCCGCACCGTCCTAATAAGCAGAAAGCACGCGAAAACAACAAGCTTGTACAAGCACCATTTGATCATGTTGTACCCCAGCTTCATACTAGCAAGTTATCACCGCTGTCTCATCACACTTGTTCAATTGTGTGCGGTATGCCTTGCATGTTCCCTGCCCACGTTTGTTATCTCTGCAGAGTCCCGGTGCATCTCAGCGTTCCTTGCCCCAAGCCCCGCACCCTTGTGGGAGTTTCGCAAGACAATCGTTCCATCATCCTTAAGTAGGACACCCATGAAATTTGGCCTCACCCCTTGATTCAACCTAAACTCTGTAGAAGCCCCAAAGCTCTGCATGTCACCCCTGCAAGTACGGATCTCGTTCCTTTTTTTTGCCTACAGCTGCCGCTGGCGTAGCCTTGAGCCACTCCGCCGGGTGGGTCCCGGCGTCCCCGGGCTCGCACGAGGAGTGTGAGAAGGCCCTTTCCGATTTAGGTGTGGGCTTAAGTTTTTTGGGGTCGCTAATCTGCCTGAGCTACCCATCAAGTGCTTATCTTCTGGTTTTGGAGGTGTCGGCTTTAGGATTTCAATTGGAAATTCCACGGTTTATGAATGGTCGGGGTTTAAGGTTTCAGGCCAGACGGTCTGTTTCTTGCTGCATCTAATTATTGTTGAGAGTGTAGGATTTTGAGTAAGAACACGGCTGCTGCTTTAGTGTAAGCTTGCGGTCACATAACGACTGCTTGGGCTTCAGGATGGAGAGCACAGGGAGTTTTAGTGAAAAAAGAGCCAGCCTCCAACGTTCTAGCCTAGCAACTAAAAAACAACCCTGTCGTGAAGGTTTCAAAGCCATGGGAACCCTATAAAGCTAAGGGTAATTCCACACGGAAGGCTCTAGCTAGGTTGGATCTCAGGCTGTAGGGCAATGAGGCTTTGTGACAGGGCTAGGCCTGTTTTGGCAGTGTTTTGATTGTTGCGACGGTTGTTGCAACAAATGTCTTGATACATGGTTGAGTGATGTGTGATAGCTGTTATGGGCCTTTTTCGGAATGGTTTGATCGTGGTCTTCATGGGAATTTGGGATCAACATGCTTTTAGGATTAGGATGTTGTATTATTTTGGATGTACAGTGCATAAGCCCGAAGCCCTGAACTGTACATCGCATGAAGGGGAAGCTTCTCGAGTAGTCTGTTTAGGTTATAGGTTACTTGACATCTCAAAAGTCAAGAGTCTGAGCGTTCTAACCTAGGTACCTCAATTACCTACTTCTTTTGTTAAAATTCTAGGACTTGTGAACAAGCTTCTGCCAGAGGACCTTACTTTACATCATGCTGCTCTACATTATGTCAGTCCTGCAAAGCAGTAACCGTAGCAAGCTTATACGCACAAACACAAGGATCCCCCCGAAAGTCGAGGCAGTACACAAGTCTCTCGGCTCTGGAGCGGAAGCTCCAACCCTAGAATATGTTTAGGGTTATGGTCAGGATTGTGTGCTTTTGTAGTCAAGGTTGGCAACCCAGAAATGGTCAGCAAACAGCTCAGAATGGCCCGTGGGCCTTTTCAACGTTCATCGGATTCGCCGTGAACACATGGAAGTCGCGATCAAGCCTACCTGAGCCGTTCCAAGCCCGCAAATGATTGAAGCCTCAACCCATATGTCCAACTCTCAACCTTAACCCCGAACAAAGCCGGAAATCCTAAGTCCTTAATTCTAAGCAGCCCCATTTAGCCCGAAATTCCTGAACCCTGAAGCCTAAACTTGCACGTCGCCCGTTACAGGCTGGCCGATCCGGCCCTACGAAAGACGGCTCCTGGGCCTTGTTAAGAACTAGAACAGGGCTGGGGTGTGTATTGCGTTGAGGAGTTTTCAGCATTAAGATACCCGTCGTCAATCATATGGCCACTCTACGAGGTAACTCCGTTCCTTGATAGCAGCCCAGCGTGAGATTTAGGCTTTCGGTGTTTCGGAATTCAGAGCTGAGGATTTAGGGTATAAGACTTAAACAGAAGTTCTAGGTTTTGGGTTCTTGGGCATCAGGATCTAGGTTGAGAGAGCCAAACAGAAGCCAATCTAGAATGCAGCTGCGATTGGCAGCCTGCAGGGATAGATAGGGCTTAGAGGCCTTCCTATGAGGGTTTCAGGCAATGGGTTTAGAACCTTGATTTGAGG